CCAAAAATACTTCAACTGAAGGTTTCCAGATGGATTTGCTCCGCATATCCATCTGGCGGACTCAGGTTACATTGCTAGTGGAATAATTTGCAAATAATTTGATAATAATTGTTTTCTAAATTTAGAATTTTTTGTTCAAAATATAAACTTTTTTTTGTCACTCTCACCTTCATAGACATAATATTGTTTAGTATAAACTTGTTGAAATAAACAAAACGACTACAAAGTCTTATTCCTACAGTAGTTGCCGCTAATAACGTTAAAGCATCTTCAGGCTAATAGCTGTTCTCTTCAATACTAAAATTGTTACTTCATATCCAACAGGTAAATTTTCCAAATTTAACATAAACAAGTTTAGATCATATAGCTACTTTTATTAGAACACATTAAAGGTATTGTGACCCACTCCCTCCACTTTTAAAAAAAAATGTGCATGCACGAGCCCATTTCTACTCTGATTGGTCAAATCTACATCCGCTCTACTCTATGCGTATTTCCTGTTTGGTTCCTTACCACCTTGTTTTGTTTGTATGACCGCTATTGCGGAAAACGACTCGGAAATGCGGAAAATCACCGCCTCAGCCGTATCTAGACCCACAGCTAGTTCCTGATTGTCTCTCTTGCGTCGTGGCCTAGAATAACATAGCGCAGACCATGCTTCAATATTGGAAATAAATCAAAAATATCTGCGACACACTGATGCGGGAGGATAACCAGCCCTTTACTGTGACCGAACGTGCGCCCTAACCTCTGAATCTCTCCATCGCCATATGGAGCGGGGACTAGGGGGTGTAAATCACACCCATCATGGCGATTCGATTCAGTATCGATTTCCTGACCAAACGATTCGATTATTTTTGATACACAAGAGAACACCACGATGCGATTCGATTCGATTAATTGGTTCATTTTTTTTTTTTTTACCTTACAGGCTACACAATGTTTCAAATTTGAAATAAATCAACGAAAGCTGTAATATTGTTATGCATTTTATGTGAGAAACTACAGCAAATAACAGAAGTAGAAAAGTTGTACTCCACCTATTCCTATTAAAACCTCATTCACTGAAAAATAATAATACTGCACAAAATCAGTGCAATGAGTGCAATGCAATACCTCGGCTCCAGACGTCCCGCCCCCTCCACAGACGCTCCGCTGCTCCTCTCCCAAATTGTAGCTGGCCGCAGACAGGAGGCCAGCTTGTTTTGTTTTCCGAAATTGCAGAAAACAACTTGTGAAGTTTGACCCACTAGAAGAGCGAGGTGCGCGAGAACGCTGGGACCCTTTTTCCACCTGGATCTCCGCTCTTTTTCACCGTCATGTCCCTCCGTTGCGCAGACGAACTCGCCCCCACTTCTTTATCGCCTCGGCCGTATCTAGACCCACAGCGTGTAGCGCAGACCGCGCTACAAAATTAAGCATAAATCAAAAATGTCTGCGTCAAGCTCACAGCGACACACTGCTGCAAGAATATAACCAGGAAGTGCCTTAGGAGGGCAAAATAGGTTTAGCGCCACCGCAGCACGGGAGTCAGAATTGCGCCCAGGAGCAAATGGATAAAAATAGACGAGTCGCTTCTCTTGCGGACGTGTCGATGCATCAGATCGTCGGCTGTTGGATCTATGGATCGATACAAAACGATTATTATTTACACGCCTAGCGGGGACTATATAGTAGACTTTATAGTGAACTCAGTTAACTGACCGTTCGGACAGATGATCACTACTTTTCACTCCGCATTGGTCACATAACTCTGTCTCCACCACACGGTGCCTGTGCCATCTTTGTTATAGGTCGGCACCGTTGTGTAGCACCAGCCTATGACGACAGCAGGCAGCTGTGACAGCAAATCCCATAATGCTTTGCGAGGAGAGCTCTACACGCAAAGCATTCTGGGATATATCTGCCTCTTCCGAGGCTTTTCTTCTAAGCTACACACTTTTCCTCTTTCGATCCTCGGCCATTTTCCAAGAACCGCGGAGAGAAAGGTGAGCTTCAATGACTGTCTGAAAGTGCAGAAAAAGATAGCTAACTGAACGAGCAAATAGGACGGCCTGACGTAAACATATCACCAGAATGATTGACAGTTAGGAGGACCACTTAATTAGATGATCCACCAGGAAATAAAAGATCTTTCTGTATACACTTAATAATTGTGTTAAACTAATTTATTTAATATATATAAATATCTATTTTATCATTAATCATTTTAGAATTATGTTAAATGTACAGAAAACACAGTATATTCTTTTGAAATCCCAAATTGTGCACATCAGGTTCAAGGCGTAACTCTGGGGCAGCAGTCCCACACGTCTTTCTTTTTGTTTTTCTTGGTCGTTCCACTCTTTTTCCTCTTCAAGCTCATCATCATCATCATATTAACCCACAGCGAGGAAACAGGAATTGATGGATGCCATTTAACTAGTTTACACACGGCTACATCCCTCAATCATTTCTCTCTGCCGGCGAAGCGGAAACTCAAAGCAACATCATGGATAGATGAGTTTTTCTGCATGCAAATGACTTTTTTTTTTCCCTGCATGCAAATGACTTTACATCAGGGAAATTAATCTCTTCAGTCTCAGAAACTGATGGAATTTGGTTCAAATTGGCAACAATTTCTCTAAATTGAATTTTCTTTTCAATGAAACTGGGTCACAGATGTGCGTGTTCTGTTTGCAAGAGGCTTTCCGTTTCGGGAGGGTTGGGTCAAGACAGACATGAGAGATCGGCACCCAGTTGATCAGATGAGTGCTTACACACCGTCCTTATCTTTCTCTTACACAACCACACACACACACGGCTACATCAGCAGACCATAACCAGATGAAGCCCATAAATCCTGTGACTATCCAGGTCTAACAAAGACAGGTCAGCGCTTCTTGATGTTGCAGAAGGGATGCTTGGGATAGCACACATCCATCAACAGTAATAACACGAACAAAGCTGTCGTCCTGCAACTGTAATGTGTGTACGTACAACAGAATTAAAATCAAATCTCAGCATGAAGCAGATTTCTTTTTGTTTCTGCTCACCAATCCAATCCTCCCCCTTCAGCGTGTAATATTGACGCCCAGCGATCCAACTAGCAGGGTGGAAACATAGATATGCATTGATTCTGGAATGAAAACAATGCAGGAAGATCAAGACGCATTTCAAATTTATTTTTAGATGTCGAAGCTCAGAATAACAGAACAGGGAAACGTTTGAGCCCTTAAATAGTTTAAATTTGAGTGGTTAAACCTAAACCGAAGCACAGAGTGAGCTTATCGTGGTGGAAAAACAAACAAAACTTTGATATGTTGGGACTGAAAGGTTGTGTAAATCCAATTCGAATGGAAATCTAGTTGCGTAAGATGCGTGCAGTAATTCCAGGTAGAGGGGAAAGCGACGTGAGCAACATGCTAGCGTGCTTAAGCTTTGTTAGCATTAGGTGACATGGAGAGGAGAGGATT